AAATGTGTTTGATATGTTATCTACAAGTATTCTTGAAATTACTGAATGCTTGTAAAATGTGATTTTTCATCACATTTCAAGAATTTGATCCAAGTCCATTCTTCTACATCAGTTTGTGCTTGGTTGGCAAGTGGTTGGTGTGTGTAAGGAGTACACATGTAGATGGATAGTGTTGAATCAGGTCATGGGATTTGAAGGGTCTCACATTATATTCTCTCCAACAGCCAGATTTGGATAGTCTTCACTCCTCAGAGAGCTTATACGTGACTTTTTGGAGCTAGGTGAGTTTTCAGTCTCCTTATATTATTTCTCTTGTTTTCTTTTAGTCTTGCTTGCTTTACTGACTCCTCAGAGAGCTTATATGTGACTTTTTGGTGCTAGCTCAGAACTAATATAACAAAGTTCCAAGTTACTTGTGCTATCTCAAGCAGTTGTTGCAGAAACTATTCCAGACCCCCACAGTAACCCATATTTGTGGCCCTGGGGCCTGAATTGCAATGTTTTCCCCCTGGGGTGCAGGAGGTGAAAAAAAATGAGATAAGATGGTAGCAAAGAGAGTACTTGTGGGTGGCCGGTCTTGCACTCAATGTTCCCACTGGGACATTCCCCTACTTCTGTGATGATCAGAGAAAAAATAAGTGCTGGCCTGAAACTTAACCCTTGTGTCTGGGAGAGTATTTTGGGTTGTTTTGAGATTCAATTGACACAAGCATAAATATGTTTCCTCCTATATTATACTTATAGTAGATTTACCCTAATCTTTGTACATATATATTCAACAACAAGTTAACATTCATCGTTCTTCTTTTCCCAATCATCGAAAAGAAGACTGCAAATAATCTATTTTCTTTATTCTTTATTCTTGATATTTGTGAGTCTTTCTAATCTATGTTATCTTCTCATGGATTAGTTCTTAGTTATCATATTTATCAGACCCAGAATAAGACTCTGAACATATTTGAACTTCCCAAATGAGGTACATCCATTATCTTGTGTACCTTCCTTTACTTCTAAGAGATGACTCTTCTCCCCCTCACCTTCTCCACTGAGTGAGAGAAGAGATTATGTGCGCTACAAGCCCTCTCAAAATTTAGTTATCTCAAGAGGACCAGTTTCTAAGGGGAGCCTATTCTTTGTGTTATAAAAGGGAGGTTTTTTCTTAAACTTCTATTGAACATAGAGGAACAGGCCCCCTTATAAAGACAAGAGCAAGGGGAGCCAGAGTCTCCCCACAACACAAGTAGGAGATGTTGACTATCTTGTGCTTATGTAGGGAGGGCAGGGTGGACAAAAAATTATTGTAAACAATTGCTAATATTTACTTATTAACTAAACAAGTTTATGGTAAAAGCTGCTTCACAGATAAATCTGCTATATGTTACAATCCTAGTAGTGTGACACTTGTACTTACAGATCTGTGACATGTGCCTCAAGTATATCCTGAGTGCTCGTGAGCAGTAGGCATCAGTCCTCACTTAGCAATCTATCTAGTTAGACTGAACACCCATCAGGCTCTCTTGCTCTCTTGCATTCCTCACCATTTCCCATTCCTAACATATGGCTAAGTCTATCTTAGAAGGAAACCAAGAGATTAATCACCAAAGAAAGAAGAAACCAAAACAAAACATTAAGAAGAAAGTTAAGTTCCCATTCCTAACACTATATGTAGATTAGATAGTTAGAAGAAATAAATGATTGAGATTGAGAAACAGTCAAGAGGAAAAGGAAAGGATATCTAGCTGTGTAGGAGCTTATATACCAAACTTTTTGGATGATACCTACGTGCTTTTGCTCAAATGATGTAAGTGTCTCCAATATATCCTGTAAGACCTTCTGTCAGAGAGGTATTCCTCATTCCCCTTCTGGGAATAGGAAGACACAGTTTTCCTTTTCCTCACCATTATGTCAGTCATCATATTTCTTCAGGTGCACATCTTCATGGACCAGCACTTTGGGGTCCTTGGGGATACAGCAAGGAAGGTCAGCAGGTGTGGTTGGCATATTGTCAATCTTGTTTTGGGCCCTTAACCTAGCCTTTTTCTTCAAAATTGCCTATGGTTTGAACAAAATGGACACATTAGGTTAAATGGGAGTAGCAAAGCATTTACTCATCATGACTGATACACTTACGTCCTTGACTTATTGCGCTGCTTTTTGGGGATTCTCCATTGTCATGGTTAAACCAGAGTCTTTCAGGGGTGAGGTTTTGACAGCATTGAAGAAGAGAACCACAAGTGTATTGGAGGTCAAGTGTGTTGCCTTGCCCTTTTCAAATTGTTCATGGCCCTTGATGTGAGCCACAATATTGACAAGTTTTCAAGCATTGGCAAAGTTGAGTATGGCCTTGTTTTACGGTGGCCGTGGACGGCCAAATTGGACAAAACATAAAATATGCAAAAATCTTGATGGAACACCCTTCAAAGGCCCTGTGGAACCTGTCCCGAGCTCATGTCCGCTGCGCCGGACAGCACTCTGCCCGTGCTTGCACCCTACTTAGTCCCCATTGCCCAAGTACTATGCTCAGCACACAGCTTCTGACTCTACAATCTATATGTATTGCATTGTTTTTTCAGATCCTGATCAACCCATAGCCAAGATGAGTGCCAATGTTAGATCATTGTAGATACTATCGTATCACCATCTCGATTAACAAAGATCAATCTTCAAGCAATTACTGTAGAAATCCCGAGTTGTGACAAATCGATCGTTTGACAACAAAAAATTATCGTCTTGAATTACACTGTTGTATCTACTGGACAACTGACAAATAATGATGTCTTTGGAAGACTGTATCACATAGTCTGGAACATCGCAGCTCTTCAAATCCAATGTGTGTAGGTCAGGAGTGAAACGACTTCAATTCTTATGAAAGGGCCGCTAAAGCAACTGATTTACCGTGATCTGGGGAGGCAAAATTTGGCACGGACTGATAGAGCAAAAATGATTCAAAAATTGATGTGAGAAGAAAGATGAACAAACAAACAATGTCGAGTAAAAATGACCAAGGCCCAAGTGTGATCCTTATGATTGGGGCAACGGACTTGAGCTTGGGATATGCTCAACGGGGCTTTCAAGGGGTGTTTCATCGAGAATTTTGCATGTTTGACGTTTTGTCCAAATTGGCTGTCCATGGCCACCGTACTTGTTGCCCTTACTGTCATCATTGGTGGGGTCAATCTTCCTGGCAATATTGAAAATACGGTGGTTGAGGGAAGTCAAAGTGTCGCTCCTTGTATCAAACACCTTCTGAGTCAATGGGAGTGGTACGGTGGCATAGTACAGCTTCTTGGACTTAGATGATCCCTTTGACGGTTTGGTGCCTTTCTGTAAGTAAAGTGTGAATCACTGCCAGCATTGAATAGGTCCCCTGGTAGGACCATGACCTAGGCTGGGAATATCATTGAGAGAAGAATGGAGCATCAAATCATCTAGCACTGCACATCTGAGCCATAAAGCATACACTACATATGTGCAAACCTCTGAGTAAATCCTTAGCTATCAGCTACATACAGGTCCGTTCAGTTATCCACTCATATAGATAAGCAAATCATGTGTAATACATGCTGTAACTTTGTTCAGATTGAGACACATATTTCAAAATATTGACTACATATATCACAATGGCTACTCAGGAAATATTCATGGAACTGTGTAACAGTAGCAGAATGGGAATCTGATCCCTAGGACCCATATTCCCATCTGGGAACCTCTTTAATGCTGGCAGTGAATGTGACACTGAGCTTGCGCCTGCAGGCCTGTCAGCCCTGAGTACATATACATGTACCCAAAACTACCTGGTAATATAGAGTATCATATACAAACCTAATTACATATACATTCAGCCTAAAGAAAGTATGTAACATGCAATAAAAGACATAAAAATATTAATGACATATACATGTATGCTTAAAACCACATGTAGTATGTAATAAAACATCATTTGCACCTCATAACTCAGTGTCAAGAGTCAAAATTCTTATACTACATAATATACTTGGCATGTATATATAATCAAGCATAATTAGTAATGATCATAACAATCATTAAGAAAAAACCCTAGACCAACTTAGTGATACAAACAAATACCACTACAGTCAGGTTTAGATAGGAGAATATATAATCCTCTCCTCTCTCAGCCTTCAATAAAATCCCCCAAGCAATTATTACACCATACTTTTAAAGAACAGCATTAAATTTCTATTGAAGTAACATAAAGAGTCTTATAAATATAAGACTAGTGATAACTTCATAACTTTAATCATCTTCCTGACTAAAAGTAAGTAGTAATCTCTTCACTTTTTCTGGATCCTCTGCTTTCCCTAAGCAGACTCTTTCCCGGTTAGTGACCTTCCAATTAACTTCAGGTTAGTTACCTCTTGAACAATTGCAGGTTAGTGACCTATATCAACTCACAGCTTATCCAAACCTCCTTTTTAGGAGTCATCTAACTGTAGTTGATTTATCCAAACAGACTGTTAGTCCCTCTTCTTTCTCTTTTTGTTTATTGTATTTACAAATCTACCTTTGAAAGACATTGTCATTAATAAAAAGAAACCCACTACACATCCCATTAGTGAGCCCAGAGTACTCTAAAGAAGTACCCTACCCTCACAGGGCCACATTGGCTGCATAAGACGTCCCTAAAGCAGCAAATATCAATAGCAATAGGAGAGAGAAACAACATTGGTAGTAAATCACGAGAGCATGAAAATTAACACAATAATGACAACAATGGGTATTCTACCTTGAGATGGATTTGGGGTGGCCTGAATAACATCCGGTGCACTGGATCCTGGAAGATCAATCTTGTTACTCTTCTGCAGAATGACATCCGGCCAGTTTTGAAAGACTACAGTTAGTAAAACTTGGGGGTTAGCAGGTTATAAGGAACTTTGATGATAATCAAAAACAGATTCTCATGTTGAGATCTGGTAGGGGTCCCATCCAATCCATTGGTCTTGCTGGAAGAAGCTATATCAATCTCATCTTTTATCTTGGGTTTAGCACCGCCTTGGTGTTGTAGTGCTAAAGCATATGTAAATGGCTGATGAGTGATTGCAAGAAAGGGAGACAGTAGGTAAGAGAATGAGCTGACCTTGATATTTTGTAGGGGTTGTATCTTGTCCATTGGCCTTGCTGGACAAACAAAGGTCCAACTGGATCTTGCAGTTGGTGTTAGCACCAGCTTGGTGCTAGCATAAAGAAGAGACTGGTTAGTGACAGGTGCAAGGAAGAAAGAGGTAGATCACAACCCACCTGGGCCATTCATTTGCGGGATACAAAGTAGAATCCGGGCACATGCCCGGCTTTGTGCCCAGAATTATTTTGGCAGTAAAATTTGATTTTCTGGCCAAGAGTCCGGGCCCAGAATTTGAATTTACTGCCAAAAAAAAATCTGGGCACGAAGCCGGGCACGTGCCCGGCTTCCACTTTGTATCCCGTAATTGGGTGGTCCTGTAACACCGTGTGGTAAGAGTCTACAATGATGTCTTATTTGGGTTTGAGACATAGCGCAGCTCCGCTCTGACCACAGGCAAGTGATATTGCAGCACACTGTTCAAACTATAGGCAGCAAATGGAGTGAGGGCCCTGCTTGGGATGACCAGATTGACCGAGCCTGTTGGTTGATTTTGAGCAATCAGGATAGCCAGGGCACGGGCACACTGGCTGTAAGTCCTCCAAGGCCTGTTCCAAACCAACCAAAACATTGTCAGCAGCCAACGTAAGGTCAGACCAGAAACCAAAAAACACTGACAGGCCTGGGGTTGTATTCAATCTCATTGGAGGGGGTGTGTTTCCTTTGTTCATGGTGTGAAGGATTTGGTGGTCAAGCAAGCAGAGATTCAGGTGAAACATCTTTATGAAGACTGATGATTGAGGTTGATCTGTGGTGGTGCAACTTTGGGTGGTCCAAAAAGTGATTGAGGCACCCAAATGGGACATTCAAAACCAAAACAGGTTGACTTGTGGGTGAGAAGGAATTGGAATCAAAGGGAACAGTGAAAGTGATTAGAGGCTTCTCCTAGCCTTGGTGTACAAGAGACAGATCTGCTTGTCTTGGCGGTATGTGGCTTTCAGGAAGCGGGCTACATGCACTACTTGCACGGACCACCTTACCTTGAGATTTTTGAGTGGTTTTCAACCTTTTTGCAAATGACTGTATAACACAGAAACAAATAGGGCGGTTCAAGAAGGGATTTTACAGCCTTTTTTTAAATTTTACATTTGGTTTGGAACCCTTAAATTTTAAGTAAAATTTTAAGTTTGTGAACCACCTTTAGAGGTGGTTCACGGTTTTGCAATCTCATAAACTGTCTTAAAAGTTATAAAGTATTTCAAACCGACAGGCACATTTAAAGCAAAAAAATCACTTCCATTGTTTGTATTTTGTTTGTTTGTTCCTGGATTGTCACCGTTGTTTGTCCAAAAAAAAAGATTGTCTTTTTTACCGCTTTGGACCAAGATGTTTGTTTCTTCATCACCTGCAAGGCCACTAAAAAATATAATTGATATCTTGATGATGAAACAAAAGGAAAAAAATGTTGGTCTAAGAAAAAAATTGCCATGGCGGTTGGGCAAATGTTGTACCTGACATTCCTCAACACTTAAAACTTAAATTTACAGTGTTCAAGACTTTGCGAAACAAGATTTTAAGAAGTGAGCATCCTTAATACACTGGATCACCACTCTGCGTGCAGGGTGTTTGCACTTCTCTTCTTGAACCACCCTAATGGAATTCTTGACCATCCCACCCACCCAGCAGAAATGGAAAAGGGGTGGTAAACCCAGCCAGTAAGTTTTTAGTAATACAGTACCTAGCTAAAATCACAGAACAAGAGAACCTAGAACACTCTCCCACAAAGCCAATGCTGTGCAGCCATCTACCATCAGCCCGTGGTTTGGGTGAACCAAATGAATGGCCGGAGATAGGGCTCCGCCACTACCCCCACAATGTTATCCTCTGACCATGAGGTAAAAGGATACCAGGAAGTGTTCTCAATCATCACACAAGACAAAGTTTCAAAAGAAATAGAAATAGCTATTCAGCAAGCTAACTGAGGAATGGGTCTCTCGTCCATCGTAGATGCGTCCTGATGCGTCCACCATCCGCGCCGCGCTAACCATGAGAATCACCACCATGACATTTTCACCAAGTCCTTTTGAACCACCAAGAAAACAATACAAATATAATGAAAACATGTTCAAGACTTCCTTTTACTCCAATCATGACCAATGGATACTTGCCGATATCGCGATTGAATTTATTCTCAATTCAATCTTATCACTTGAATCAAAGAAACAAAATCAAGCAATGATCAATCGACTTCCCATTGCTTGATCAATTGATGAAAATAATGAGGTTCTGGACAAATCAGGTTGAATGATGGCTAACATCGATGACGAAGGAGAAGCAGGAACATCGATTCGCATCTATCATCTCTTGATAGGGACGACTTGCAAAAACAAGCATGAAACTTGTAACAGGGTGGAGATTACCCACGTTAAGTATATAAGATTTAAGCTAACTTAAGATCTTATGTGAGTTGAAGATATTGGAATCGGATCACAGATCCTAGTCTATCTGAGTTATGAGGTAAGTGAATTGAAAGGGCACGGGCGGAAGAGTTGCTCTGAAGCCTTAGTGAATGCTTTCGATGAGTTTCACCAACAGGTAGATAACGAAGATAGAGTGAAAGGGCAAGAAGCAAGATTTTGTAACAGCAAAAGGGTTCTGTATAAGATTGCGATAAAAGATGTTATTCTTAGGAGCAAGGTTATAAAAGAAAAAGCAAAAGTAATTTGATAATTTGATTCGTAAAGTAAAAAGATGAGGAAACTATTACAAACGGGAATAGGTTCCTCTTTATACAATTCTTCATTCAAACAAACGACTAGAGGATGTCTTGTTTTAGGCTAGGCGTGGCTTGTGCCTGGTTTTAGATGAATCGGTCTAGTTGTAAATACAATGCTTCGTTAAGACCGGTTAGTTTTATAAGGGTTTTAATTGTACCGTAGTAAGGATTGAGCCCTTAGTTTTAATTGTAGATAGTACAGGGCCTTCGCTGCTACAAACTTCACATGAGGAGACAAAACCATATTCACCTTCACTCCCCACAGACGAAATGATGCCACTATGTATCATTGAGTTTCCCATCGAACTCTCTCGACATAATCAAGTTGGACTCGAAGGCGATTCTGCCAAAGGGAAGAATGTGCACTTGAAATTGAATCCTCGTTGATGTAGCTTATCCCCTAAATTATATGTCCAATGGCAACATCAACCAACTTCAACTATTGAACATGGCAGTAGTCCGTCAACTCGGAATGCAATACGAATTGATTCACATATGAGCCAAGCAGCCCCAGAACATCAGGCGATGAATCTTGTATCGATCAGCATGAAGGAAATAAGTGGGTAATATAGCAGAGCAAAAGCAGACGGAGTTCCACGTCAAATTCCTTTCCGGTCGATATAAATTGAATCTTCTGATTGAATGAAAAATGGGCATGAGATCAAACGATGCGAACGATGAGGAAGAAGGGACGCTCGGCACATGTCGTGCACGACATCAGGTTTCAAAGTCTTTTCACCTTGGATCCAATTACGATAATCTACCAAGTGTCAATCAACTTGGACGTACGTATCACATGAGAGGGGCGCAGCCGTCCCGGCGCAGCGGCGACTGGCTAGAGTGCCATGGCGAAGATGACCTGGAATCGACTGCCAAACGACATATGTAGTGGTCAATTGTTCATTGATCCCTGTGGTGTTGCCACGCGCAGTGAATCTTCCACCCAAAGATAATAAGCGCCGAGCTCGATTTCAAGTTGTCAACTGATACAGCGGGCCGGTGGTTGTCCTGTGTTGGCGGAATCTTTGGCAATCTGTCAGAGAAGAAGTAACAGTGAGTTTCTTTCTATATACCCATCCCTACTTTTACAATATTGACATACATACTTGACTACTTCACTCCAGAAATTGATCATGGACCGCAGAATACGTACAATCAGGTACAATCAGTTGGGTGAAAGCATCCATCGAATTCATTTGTCAGAAGTTGATTGGTCTATGTATCAAATCGACCAATCATACATTGAATTGCGCTTCACTCCTTATCATCGAAACAACCGATCAACTCGAGTTATTTAAAATCCTTCAAAAAACGCCTTCCTATCGAACCAAAAACCAATCGAACTCGAAAACCAACTTCTAATAAAACAAAACAGAGTGTCCAGCATGGGTAAGAGTTTGAAAAGTCAAATCGAACTTGATAATAGCTAACCATATTTTTACATTTTCTCTCAGATCGATCATTCGCTCCTGCTTTATCATCATCATCGTTGTCAATTACTTCATCTTCTAGACCCCCATTACCATCTTCTTCTTTAACCTCTTTATCAAACCCAACCTCATTGAAACCGGCGACTGAAAAAACAGTTGATCTTGATTCTTATTTTTTGGATCTAGACGGTGAAAAAGATTATCATATACTCCACGCAATCTCTAAATTAAGAACTGGTTTAAATGATCGAAGTTCACGGACCAACTACATTCATCTCGATCAAGTTTAGTGCCTTTCAATTTTTGTCATCTCTTCAAAGAGCAATTCATCAAAATTGATTGTGTTGGGGTGTTTTTGGCAACATTTCTAGATTTCTATTTTTAATGAAACCAAGGAGAAAAGTCTTGAAATTGCATTAGGATTAAAAGAAGTGGTGGTGGAAGAAGAGGCAGATCAAGAAGAAGAATGGATCCACAGTGAATGGAAAGCTCTAATCGGAAAACAAAAGGTCGAATCAACTGATATTCGCAAGTTGATCTTATCTCGTAAAGTTTTACAACCGATCGTAGGTACCAATTTTCAAAGAAAAATAAATCTAAAACGTCATTGATTTTGGTTTCGTTTTTGGGGCGACGGGGTGAGTAGGATTTGAAAGAATGGTTAGATTCACCTTTAATGTATGATTTACCCGATTTAAGTCTTGGAGTTTTATTACGATTGGATCCATTAGCTTCCGGTACTACTCCACTCCCTACGGTTTCGCAATTGTAACTTCTGAATCCATGTAAATTGATTCGCACTTCATATTTGAGACGAATCGTCCAAAGTTTGTCAATTGGTAATCGATTGATCTAAGTTGATCAATCAATTTGCTTTTTTTTGAAGTATCATGGGTGATCTTGAAATAGTTTGTCTGTTTTTTCTTAGTTTGGGTTTTGCTTTTTTTGTTTTTTGCTAAGAAAATGCAAAAACATCCATATAGAAAACAAGATAGACTTTAAAAATGTTCTCAATCAAGCATATATATATATATATATATATACGACATTTGATTCTGATTGTCCACCTTAGTTATTGGATTTAATCATTCTTCTTATCTTCTTGGGTTTTATACACGAGATTATCATTTATTATCATTTATACTTTTAAACAGCTCACTTTGATTTAGAATCAAAACTCATAATAAGTATTCCACTTTATCAAAATCGCAAATTGCTTATCACCAGAGATGTCAAGTTGAAACTAGAACTGATCGCTGGAGATATAGAGAGTGCGCTTGTATTAGTGCAATCAGACATCAAGGGGATTAGTTATGGTATAATCAATAGTCAAAACCCATCTCAGGGTAGTATTCATGAGAGAAATGAAATCAAGAGAAGGCTGATCAGGTTGAATCTCAATCAGTTGCAAGAACAGGATACTGCTTGATGAACCAATGAGACAACCATCTGACTGCGCTAAGTCTAGCCACACAGTGCCAGAGGGAACATGTGTTTGGTTTCTACATCTGTCTACAGCTGACGCAAACCTTTTGGTGGTCTTGAGAAACATTCTATGATAAAATGTTCAAACTTCAGAGGATAAGAGCAAGAAGGTATACATAGTTGCGTTGATAACTGGATCGCAACGTTGTGGTCAAAAGGTACAAGCGGGCCTAATCTAACAAAGTCCCTTGGGCCCTTGGTGATTTAGTGTCACTATTACAACAACACGAGCAGGGCGGCTAACGCGGGTCGGGTATGTCCAACAATATTTTACGGTTCTTGGTTTCTTTCAAACTGAAAGGCGTCCTCACTTTCCTTTCTCACTTCATTGGCCTTACTTGATAAAGTATGTAACTTCATTCCATATCGACTTTATAGAATTAACTAATAGAGAAGCATCTGACTAAACAAATACTATCAGCAAAACAGAATGAGAATTTCAGTTGATTCACTCCATCAAATTCACACTTTACCTCGCCAAGCGCTTCGGTCCACACCTGTGTTCTGGACTAGGAATTCTATTCCAAAATCTCAATTGTTTTCATGCCCTCTCATTCCAGCTCGCACGCGATTCCCCGCGAAGGTCAGTTAAAAGCTTCCTTATAGGCCCCTCTTTACTTCTGTCTTGCCCTTCTCTCGTGCGCCATTTATTGGAGCTATAGACTTGTCCTCGTGCGCTATCGTTATCACACCCTTTGTTTTCCGTATTACGATTATAATTCTAACCCTCTGAACATGGTGATACACATCATGTGCAATGATCACCTAATTGTAGAGAATTCTCCACATTTGTGTGTTCAGAGATAATCATGTCCGAGGTTTTAATACTTCTCGGCTTCGATTCTCGTTTAACAAATTATCACAACTTTCCCTGGCTTCTTTTATGAATCCGCTTGAACCGGCATACCCCGAATGCTTGGCCGGGTGTGTGACCGACCGGGCGCTTGTTGCTTGAGTTGTCGAATGCCGTACAGTTTGTACACCTCACCATGCTCTGTTTTCCTCATATTTACTTTTTACTTTTATCCTAATTGACGGTCGACTGGGAGGCGTCGGGTCCCTTTACTTGGAGTATATTTTCTGCGTCAACGCTTCCTATTTCAAGCGCCCTTCACGATCACCTTTTTATTCTTAAAGCCATTGCAAAAGTCTGGACCAATCCTTTTCTCCATACGCCTCGGCTTCTTATCGCTTGGTGCAAAGCAAATCGATTTAACAAGCTATCCACGCAGAGTTCATTACTCCCAAGTGTCATCGTTTTGTGCAGTTTCCTTTTCTCCGTACGCTGCCTTTGAACTGGCACCATGTCAACTTATCACCAGTCAATCTTATATTTAATTTTCGAGGGCTTTCAGGCTGACCCCAGGGATTTCGCTTGCGTACAGCTTACCCCAACCCCTTCGCACGCGTTTAACCGAGGTTTCAGCTCCACAACGCGCAACATGACCGTCACGAAGATCAAAAGCCACGAGGAGTTTGAGAAATTGGTCAGCCATCTGCCTGCATCTTTTCCACCCTTTTGGCTTTATATCAAGTCTTCATTCAGCCCTTTCAACCCTGAGTATAATCCGATCTTAACAATCTATTCTATGACTATCCTCTATGTATCGAAATATATTGTGTGAAATGGCGTTAATAAACCGGCATTTTGTAGTCGTGCAGCGGCAAACCAATGGTGATTGATTTTTGGGCTGCTTGGTCAGTACATCATCCTCGTTTTCTCGCGTCTTACCCAGTATCATTTACACCGATCATCTTTGGGATCCTTATTGCTTGTTGGAAATAGGTGCGGCCCATGCAAGATGATCTCGCCAGTCTTTGAAAAACTTTCCAATGAGATTGACGGACTGAATTTTGTATCAGTCGATGTTGAAGATCCAAACTTTGGGCTACAAGTAAGTCTAGTTTTGTTTGGTGGCAGTGCCCTTTACTTAACCTATTCCCTTCCGACTTCTGGGATACATCCCGCTTTTCTGATTGAATTTATTTTGGCCCAGTTTGCCCAGGAACACGGCATTCGCGCTATGCCGACCTTCCAGATAATCGAGAACGGGGTCAAGGTAGCCGAGATGGTCGGGGCAGACCAGGTCAAGCTTCGAGTATGTCTCTTGCCTTATCTTCATCCTCCTTTTTCTTTCCTTTTCAAATCATTTCTTAACGCTGTAAATTGCAAGCCTCTCAAGACAAACAGGCCTTCTTTTGTATTCTGATCACATCTCACCACTCTGAATTCCCCATTCTGATGATGCCACTGTTTCTTTACCTTGTTGACCTTCCTTTACAGACCATGCTTGCTGACTACAGCACTTGAGATTGGATCATGGGTTATTCACTCATGGGCGTGAGATTACTTGAAATTCTCTGTAATCCGACAACCCGTTTCGTTTGAAAGTTGGCATCCAACACACTTCCTAGTTTGACTGAACTTTATCAAAGGACTGTAACTGTCGGTCTACATACATAGCATTTGTCCACTAGGATGTGAGATTTTGCACGGTTCTTAAATAATTAACCGTTGTGGCGTTGTGGCGTTGTGGCTTCTAAAGCTAATCACCCATACAGGTGCCCCAAGCCAGCAACTTATCGAACCTTATCCAATGGACTAAATGCCTTGCGAGTGTTCGGAACTCGGACACTCGCAAGCAGTGGAGGGAAGGTGAGGGAGATGGGTGGTCATCATTCCAATGAGACCCTCTAAATTTTGTTGCTTGGGCGCTCGAATATTCATGAGTACTTGACCTCTCCGGGCAAGCATATAATATGCAGCTTAGGCCATGTTAAGACATTGGAAAAACATACAGTCATTTAAGAAAAGCTTGCTCAATTTTGAATTTTGCCCGCAAAACTCGAGCGAATTGGCGGGGAATTTGTCGCAAGCTTTTCTTAAATGACTGTACATATAGTGGCAAAGGAACGCTGCTATATCAAGGCCATCGATGCTCAGCATCTGGTCTGTAAGATTTTCATACTCACTTCTGGCACAGATGATCAATCTTAAACTCCAACCCAAGTTTCAACAAATGTTGTGAAACACAATGGCTCTCTTAGGGCCCGTTCGGTTGCCGTCAACCTCTCAGGTTGACCCAGCCAAATGTTCAGGCGTACGCTTCAAGGCAGTTTGAAGCGTACACCTGGGTGTTGTGCCGTTTGGTACACCCTTTTTCAAAAAGGGTGAAGCGTACGCCCCACAGGTCTACCAGCCAAAATGGTCAACCTGGCAGGTTGACCGTTTTGCTGCATTCTGGCAGGTTGACCTGCCTACTGCCATGAACTTGGCTTCAAAAAGAAAACTCTATCAAATTGTTTCGATTCATTTTTTTTCTTTTTATATTTAGCTTATTTTATTCACATAAATGATTATCTGCATTCACTCAAAGCAGAAAATAACAAACACATCATTGTTATGTTTTAAAAAACAGCTTGAAAATCTAAAATCAAAGCAACATGAATTGTGACTTTTAGGTCTAACTTAACTAAGTCCCCTCCCAGTGTCCGGGGGAAAAAACGCAACAAAACCCGGAGGCACAGAGGGGACTTACATGTTATAACACTGCTCTTGGTGACAAGGGAAATTCAGTTTTGGTGGTGAAAAAGGGTCCACAAATAAAACTTTTTTTGACAATTACGTATTTTCTTGTATTTCTCATATAATATGCGCCTGCTTCTTGCGCAACTTTTACTCCACTCAGATTTCGAATTTTTCCAGACGCAAAATTTTTCATTGTGCTCCAAACAAGCTCTTTTCAAATTTTGGAATTCTGAGTTGCTGCAAGGTTACAGTCAATGTTTGCGTATGTAAATCATCAAATCCAATTTAGAATGCATCAAAGATAGTAAAGCCTTTCAATCATTTCTAATGAGACACCAAGCATCAAAAATTATTAGCTTGCGATTAATTTTGATGAGCCAATTCCGAATTACAGAAAAGCAACTAATCAAAAGCAGATTGAATTAAAGGCTTTAAAGGTTTTTGATAATCTTTAGAGAGACGAATCATCTTGATTTCAAAGCAGCCAAACCGTTTGATATTTTTAGACAGATCATCCCAATTTAAAGCAGCTTATCAAATAACTGTTCAATCGAAGAGCATCTTTTCTGATAGAAGAATAATTGAACGGACTTTTGATTGAAAGCATTTCTTCTCAATCACTTGTGACAACTTTTGAAACTTCTGTGTTCAGATCAACGTGTTACAGGACACGTACTGATAGCCGCAGTCACAACTTTGGAACCTTGGAAAGAGCACTTTTTGAGCCCCAATGAAACTTTCTCTCTTGAAGGAGAAAGGGTCTTCCAAATTGGGGGAAAGCAGCGCAAGAAGCAGGCACTGATCATACTAGAAACACAAGGAATTTCACAATTGTACAAAATAGTTTTATTTGTGGACCCTTTTTCACCACCAAAACTTAATTTCCCTTGTCACCAAGAAAAGTGTTATAACATGTAAGTCCCCTCCGTGCCTCCGGGGTTTGTTGTGTTTTTCCCCCCGGACACTAGGAGGGGACTTAGTCAAGTCAGCTTTTAGGTTAATAACCGAGTGGGAGCTTTGAAGACAACTTGTTTACAGTATTTTGACTTCCAACACAGGCAGTTTAACACAATCTGTGTATGCTTTGAATCACTGAGATGAAATATCAATCAATATTGAATTGAGGTGAATGGGTGGAATGAAATATTGATCAATTTTTGATCGATGTTTTGAAAGACTTCAAAAAATAACCTCTTCATCCACTACTCTCAGGGGGAGGGATAGAAGGAGGAGTGCCAGCCATGGGCAGCTATGGCATTAGGTTTATATTCCATAAACCTCAGTGCAGTTATCCAAGAAGGATTAGCCTTCTTTGAGTTCTTTGTAACCAGCACAAGTAAAATATTATGTAAGGTACATGTAATCTACTGGGGGTGGTGTGGGGGTAGGCCCCGGGGAGGTAGGCCGCGGTGATAGGCGTCTATCTCCGGATCTAGCCTGCCTCTCCGGGGTGAGAACAAAGAACCCAAGAAGGGCTTCTCTTCCCTGGGATGGAGGGTGGGGGACAAAAGAATTTTCTACTGCAAAGCAGATGTAGAAGAAATTAGGAAGATGAGTTTGTGATGTGAGGTGAGAGAAATCTACGGCTGAGAGTGAAGAGAAGTAGGGAGGAAAAAGTTTTCCTTAAGAATTTAAGAATGAGGAGAAAACTTTTTCCTCCAGTTGCAACGTCCCAACTATTCTTCTCGGGGATTCTGGCGCCAAGTCTCAGACCTATGAATCTCTCTCTCCTCACGAGCTACCCGGCTGCCCCCCTATAATGGACTACAGATTACCGTCTCAGGCTTGGGGTACTCCATCAATTAAATTTAAACCCATGATCTTTGGGTTTCATGAGGGTCAAGTTTGGGCTACCAAACAGCCCAGTCTCTCAGTCAACCTGCAAGGTGGGCCTTGTCAACCTGCGCATGCGCAAGCATACGCTTGCCAGGCGTACGCCTGCAAGGTTGACGGCAACCAATTGGGCCTTTAAGGAATCAGTTGAAACTAATGATAACCTGCAACACACATTCTCTTAATTTACCTTCTATCAAACCTTATTGACCTTAGGCTTAAAGGCTACGGCTATTTAGACATTTTGAAAGGAAGACCACAACCCGTGTGAGGGTGGTACTTGAAGCCCTTGATCCAGAAAAGTGATGTGAATGTAATTATGCTCATGTAAAGCAACATAGTGTGCACTGTGTACATATCCAGAAAGCGGAGGGTATTGATCATACTATGAGTTGTTTGTAAGGCATATTGTTCCTTTGTACTCAAAATCGGAAACCAGTTCATGAAAAGTTATGGATTTGAATGAGCATGTACTCTTTTTCATTGCGATTACATTCTTGGTCACATTTTGCAGAAAAGATAGGTCAAATGTGTCAGATGAACGCTGTATCCAGTGCAAAATTCAATTCCTTGTAGAGCTTGCTTTTTGACTCTGATCACTACTAATAGTGGTACACAAACATCTCTACCCAATTGAAAACCCCATGGCAAAAACCCATGACCACCTGATTGGTTTTTGGGTTTTGTCCAACGGGTGTTTTCACTTGGGTCACCCTGAGATGTTTGAAAATGAAAACCCTCGCCCGTCCAATCCTCCCCAGCATGCCAAGATTCTTGTGCCAAAGGCAGCTCTTGTTCTCCCTTGATAGCATCCTCATATCTCAGATTTTGCTTCTTACCACAACCACCACTTCATCCATAGCCCCATCTTTCCTTCCAACCTTAGTGGCGACCTTACTGCTTGTGTCATTCATGGATTCCAAACATGACGACGACTTGGACAAAAACCTTGAACATCAAGAACAAATCATCACTTTTGCTTGCATGGTCCTGATGCTATCTACAATGAACCAGACTTACTTTATAAATGAACGGAAGCGAAAATTAGAAGACAAAGAAGCAACTATAGCAACTCTCTTGATGATACAAGTCAAGGCCCATAGCAAACAATATCTGCTTCCTCAATATCAGCGGCCTCGTTGTAGTTTAAAGGTGCAGACTTTTGAAGGATGCTTCAATGAGACTGATCACACTTGGCTAACGGTTGTAAGTACATACAAGAGATTTTCTTCCTCATGTCAAATTGTGATTTACTTTACTGACTTCATATATTCTCCAAACTGCCTTAGGCACATATGTCAAAGGCTGATTTTACCAAACTGCTCCACAAAATATGATCGAATCATATATTTTACAACTCCTACTGTCCTCAGGCACCACCCCAGTGGCAGTTACTGGTCGCATTAGCAAATTTAGGATTGGCAGGGAATGGAGGCTCTTGTCCTATCAAAGCCAAATTGTTCTCATTGGCAGGTGAGTAATAAAACTTGTGTATCATTACTATCCTTTGTACTGATGATTTGACTTATGAATAGAGGGCAGTGTTGCCAACCATACAAAAAGATGCATTTTTGCACTTCTGGAGTTGGAATCCAAATACGTTTGATGGCCCAATACGGACAAAAGAGCTGAAATTAAGAAACTATTGGCCAAACTTCATGGTTTCAGGAGTGTATTGGTTTCATAGATGGTACTTTAGTACCTTTAGCCTCAGCTCCAGCTAAGAACAAAGAAGATTACTACACTCAAAAGTCAATTTATGCATTGAATTCTCTGATCATCTGTGATGATCGACACATTAACTGATTGAAAGTACTTCAGTTCTACCAGGACATCTCCTCTTATTTT